TGCTTTGCTCAGCATCTCCCTGGTCTGCTGGGGGGGTTACCCCCCCAGCAGACCAGGGAGACGCAGAGCAGCTTTTCTCGCCCCAGAGGACGCAGGAGGCAGGACCACGTCACATCTGGGCGTCCCGCCGCTCCCGTCCTCCGGGGCGAGAAAAACCCCGTTCGTAACTGCGGATCCGACATAAGTCGGATCCGCGTAACTCGGGGACTGCCTGTATATAGTTTCTCATCCAATAGTATTTCTTTGCAGTATTATCTGTAGACCTGTTTGCTTTGTTTGGGTGTTGGTTTTTTTCCCTTTTCTATCATTTTATCCCATGGTGCTTGAATGAGTACATCCTGAAACATTTCCAACAAGAGCTGTGATCTTGTCAGATCACTTAAAGAATGTGTTACCCTCATTAGCAGGGCTTGCCAAGTGGTGGCGAGCACTGCTCGCCAGCTGCGCTGTTCTGCGCTCTGCGCATGGTCAGATCGCACCGCGCCGGCTCTTCCGGGGTATAATCTACTCGCTACGGGTAAGTAGATGACACTGTTTGTTGAGCCCTGATCATTTGTCCCCAGGAACAGAGTTTTAACATGTTTCATGTACCAGTTTGTAGCTGCTGCTCAAATTCCTGCAAAACATTTAAAAGATTTAGATTTTTCCTGGCTCTAGTTAGTTCAGAACACATGCTCATTTAGGTCTAATCACCTTCTCCATGCTCTTTTTATCTCCACTTGTTTATTTTGTTATTATCTTGCACCAAATGATTCAGTCTTTTCTCCCCATCTCAACATCAGCTTACCTGCGGTGAAGAGGTGTAGCCATGTCTTGAAGAGTTCCTTTCATTTTTGAGGCAATGCCAGTATGAGAGCTGGGTCAAGGGGCATGGTGGGGAGGTGGGGTATCCTTGCTAAAGAAGTGGTTTGGAGAGTGGGGGAACAGCATACCAAAGCATAAGATTCACTCATGCAAGTAGAAAGTATTTTTAAAAAATGCTTTGAAAATTTGAGATTCTGTTGCATCAAGCCGTTTGATTGACTGCCATGCAGACCTAACAGTTAAATAATCTTATTGACAAAACTGCAACTTTGAAACCACTGTATACAGCTTCCTTAGTTTCAATGACTTTTTGTTTGTACTATAGCTTTGATCATGCTCTTCAATCCGTGAAGCCATACGTGAGTGGGAATGATGAGTTGTCCAATACATTCCTGGAAATGAGAGGCCACTTTTACATGTATGCTGGAACTCTCTTGTTGAAAATGGCCCAGCACAGTGAAAAGCAGTGGAGAGCTGTATCTGAACTGGCAGCTTTGTGTTACCTTATAGCTTTTCAGGTAAGCGGGTTTCAGGTTTTTTGTATTATGCATTTGAATATATTTTTTAAAATTTTGAACTGTAATTCTTAGATATGCAGCAATTATGTACATGTCTTACAACTGTTAAAGAATATTTTATCACCTTACAGTTGTTTGTAGAAAGTCTGGGGTATGTGAGTGCATGTTTTCTTTTGTTATCGTCAGATTAGCATTTTTATAATCTAGAATGTACTATCTTTGCTCTGAGACTACACCTTATTAAATCAAAATCTCGCCCTCTACCTTAGCACCCATAATCTGGGAATAGTCTGCGTTCGTGCCATCTTAATCTTGCTATTGTACATTTCCCAGCGATTTCTAGCAAAAATGCATATTTTAAGTCTGTCTAAGGGCAGAGGAAGGTAACTGAAAAGTAGTAGCTTGACACATACATTCCCTTCATGTTCAATAGAAAATCCAAAAATTGTTTATTTCACTAGCAAAAACTCCCCTCTAACTTTAACTTTTGCAGTAATAACTTCTTGGTTCCTGACTCTTTTGTGTAATTCCCACCAGGTCCCTAGGCCAAAGACAAAACAAATAAAGGCAGATCAAGCGGGACATGATATGCTGGAAATGTTAGCCTGTGATCGACAGAGCCAGTCTGGTAATAAAAATATTAATTGCAATTGTTTAAAACAAGACTAATATATTCTTTCTCACATGGCATATGCAAGAGATGGTTCTTTAGTGATTTTGTGTGTATTTAAACGTTTTGCTGTTTAAATTAATGTAAATGTTCAAAGCTTCCAGTAAGTTTATATGAAAAGTCTGATTCTGAAACACTAAGTTCTCATAATTTTCTCTGAACTTAGCAGTGCAGTGCACTAGTTTTTGAACTGTTTCAATATTCTTAAACTACAAAAAACTCTTGTATCTATTCAAAAAAGTAAAAAGTTGAAGTTGCTACCTTAGTCTTAAATCCTTTCATAATTATTTTTGCCAAAGCCGCTACAGATGCTATCAGTTATGCCCTACTAGTTTTTTTTAAATACACATTTTTATATTATTACTATGTTTTCCTTCCCCATCACACCATCCATTGTTTTGAGCCACCTTTTTCTGTCATTAACCTATTATAAATTCAAGACCAGGGACTGTCTTTCTACTACATCTTTATAGTACAAATAATAAATGTACTGAGATCAAAAGACTTAGGATGTGGCGCTTTTGAGAAATGCCCTTGTTCTGCAAGGGATCATTCTATTTAAGCAGTAGCTATACACGTTGAAGGAAATGTACTACTGAGGCTTAAATTAAAATTCTACACAGTTGTTAAAATAAAGTATAATCACAATGATTTCAATTACTTTTGTAATGTATTGAAAGTACAATACAATGGAGGCAGAATGGGAGTGGGGAGCATGGGAGAAAATCCTCAAACCCCCCCCTTACATAATAGAATGTAATTAGGTTTGATCCTTTGTTTGATCCTTTATTTTTAGTTAGTAGTAGGAATGTAAAAATGTAACTTTGTAATTGCTAAAAATCATAGCCATTACATGCACTGCAGTCTCTTGAGTATAAAGTTTAAATAAGCTTTATACTGAAAAGCCTGCAGGGAAGCCTCCCTGGGGGCAGGGACAAGGCTCCTGCCAGCCCCATTTCCAGGGAGGAGGCTTCGCTGTGGGCTCTGCAGCCAGCTTACCATAAGTGGTGCTAGCAGCCCTTGCTGGCCCCACTCCTGGCGTAATTTGTAACCAGGGCAGTAGGGGGGTGGTCAGGCCCCCCATGAACAGGGGCTGCTCTGGAAGACCCCATGGGCTGAAACATCCCCCTGACCAACTCCCCCCAGGGAGTTGCTCCTACCAGTTAACCTTTTACATCCCTAGTTATTAGTCAACAAATATATTCAGCCATAAGCTCAGGGTTTTTTGCATCAGATTCGCAATTTATATTGACTACTGACTGTTTCCAGAAAAGTCAGTAGGAAACAGTACATGGAGCACATTTTGATATAAATGTTTTTAGTCCAAAAATGTAGACCAGTTCTCATCACTAATGCATCATAAACATTTATAAGGCCACACTGTCCTTTACACCATTCTGACAATATAAAGGAGCCGTAAAATGTGTGGATTCACAAAGGAAGTTGGAACCATTCACTAAACAGGTAGGCTTGTGCTACCTGAGGGGACAGAGCCTGCCCCACACCTTTCTCCCCAGAAAAAGCCCTGCCCTTCCACGTAAAGCCTCACACATGATGGTCCAGCCCGTGTGTTTTCTCCACTCCCTTACTCCAGCATTGCTTTGTCTCCAATGGCTGTTCCAGGCATTCGTACCAACCTTCCTCAGCACCTGAAACAATGCTTCCTCATGTGACTGCTGCTTTGTGGTTTCATTCTGCTTCCACATCAGGAATCACTTTTCTGTGGGGAGGCAAAGAAATCCATGAGGGGTATAAATTCTGTTTATGCAGTGACACAATTCCTCTGGGAGTATTAATTCCAGGGTTCCTGGAATACCAAGATTCTTGTTTTACTATATATTATACTAATACTACAAAGACTTCATATCTTTGAGTTTAGGATTGAAGAATTCTTTAGTTCGGCTGCCTCTCAAATGATGTTTATGAAAGACTTGAAAACACGTGGAGTAAAATCCTGGCCCAACTGACATCCGTGGGAGTTTCTTTATGTACTTCTGTGGGGCCTGGATTTCACCCATTATCTTTAATCCTTGACATGTATTAGTGATCTGATGAGACATGCTTTCTATATACTGCACTACTCTCTTAAAATCCTGCATCAATGTTTTTGCTTTTCAGGTCACATGCTGTTAAACCTAAGCCATGGCAAGCAAGATTTCTATAAAGAGATTGTGGAGTCTTTTGCAAATGAGAGTGGGCAGTCTACTTTATTTGATGCACTTTTTGAGAATGGAGCGTCTAGAGAGAGATCTTTCCTTGGCACTGATAATGTCAGAAGTGTCAGTGTACAGGGTCCAGACCATATGGAACTTGTCAGATATGATATTGGTAAGGAACATCACTTAGGAACACTTTATGCTTACTGTCTGTATCTTATAGTGATGTTTCTTCTGATTTGAAGAACAATCCTGCAAATAGTACAGACTGCAAGCAAGGATGAATGGTCTTTATGCTAAACTGACTTTGGAAAATCTACAATGTGGCTGTAACATAGATTTTTATCAAATATTAACATGGATGCCTCAGGCAAGCAACCCATTTTTCACAGAAATGCTTGAAGAAAATTTAGCAGCTTTGGATTATCTGTAGAAGATCATTAAACCTGGCTGAGAGACAGGAGTGAAGTAAGTTAAGAGCCATAGTTCCTTGAAGAGGATAATCTATTAGTAACACCTTTGTTAAAGGACTCATGACTCAGGAACACTTGATAGTGGCAAAGGATGCAGTGTTATAGAGCTCACACCTAGATCTAAAAGAAAGATATTCCATAGGCCAGTGAATTTCCAGTTTTAAATATCATACTCCAGCATCCTTATTTTAATTTTAACAGCATATGCTGTGCAGACTTCCTGGGCTGTCCTAGCTAGATAGTTTGAAATGGTAGTTACTTTGGAGAGTTGGTCAAGCAGCTGTACTCTGGCAGAATAAACACTTACACAAATATTCTTTCAAACAGGGATTTGAAAAAATAAAAAGCTGACCTAAATGGATATCTTTGTTTGCTTATAATAATGAATTTTGCAATAAAGCTGGCACTGTTGGCTACAAAATAACTCTTCTGCATTTGGTCTTGAAGCATAAACTTCTTTGCTCCAGTAGGAGCACACATTATTCACCAGATGGCTAAAATAAACAAACATGGTTTTTTTTACACTCATTTTACAGTCCAAGAAGTGGAGATTGAGAAGAAAAGGGTGGTTAAAGTGGGGGGGAAAAATTAGGATGCTGCCAAGTGACTATGGACAGCTAAGGCTGATGCAGCATGTGCACTTTTGATGTCTGAAGTGATATCTGAAACACTCCATCCAAATCTGCAAAATCATGGAGGTCATAAGACTTCATTGCACTGAAGTATGGGGATATTATTCCACTTGCTCATGACTCCCCCTCCCCCCACACCAAATTTACTTTCCTGAAAGTATAGTTAATTGTGTGAGCACTTAGAAATGTGAACGTAGGCAAATGTTTAAGATGCTGATTAAATAGATAAGGTGGGTGTTTTATTGGGCCAATTTTTGTTGGAGAGTCAAGTTTGTGTTCCCATAGAGCTCTGCTTCAGGACTGTGAAATGTATTGAGTGGATATCTGTGCTGCTGTTAACCCACTGTATGACTCAGGCTCATGGGCCTCAGTCTGTGGAGCTCTTTAACTGCAGTGCAGATTTCCAGATTGAGGCTGCAGCCCAAGTTTTGGGATCCTTCCATCCAAGGCCTGGAAATCTGCACGGCAGGATAAGTTCTGTAGCCTGGTCTCCACAAGCCACAGTGAGGGGGCATGGGCCAGCCGCTTGCGTTTAATAGCAGGGTTATAGATTTATGTATAAGCCATAAACAGAGTATCTCTGTTCAGTCTGATTTTTAGTGTCTGACAAAGTTAATGGATTTATGTTTCCAGGCTTGTGGGTGTCGTGCATGTTTCCTTTGTAGATGAGAATTGATAGGTCCGATACAGAGTAATTGCTTTATTAAAACAGGACTATGTAGCACTTTAAAGACTAACAAGATGGTTTATTAGGTGATGAGCTTTCGTGGGCCAGACCCACTTCCTCAGATCAAATAGTGGAAGATTTTTTTAATTGTATCCTTTGGTATATATGGTCATGCCAATTTTCTTCCACTATTTGATCTGAGGAAGTGGGTCTGGCCCACGAAAGCTCATCACCTAATAAACCATCTTGTTAGTCTTTAAAGTGCTACATAGTTTGGTCCAGCTGAAACACAAAACAGGACTAACACGGCTACATTTCTATTACTATGCTTTATTAAAAGTGTTCATCCATCCTATAACCCACTAACAACTCCCCCAACTACCTTCTACTCCTTCATTTTCCCCTCTATTTGAGGATTATTAATGAGCCACGTGACTTTGAATGGTACCTGGAAATATATTATCTACTTATGCTAAAAATCTGTTCCACCTTGTATCTAGCTGTGATGCTCTAAATTTCCCAGACCTGAAGAACTCCTCTGTAAGTTTTTTAAAGCTTGTCTGTCATTGACCAATAGTACAATAAAAGATATTACTTTACCTGTCTCTTCTCTCTAGTAATCTGGAACCAACTTGGCTGCCATAATACCACATAAATAAGATGATGGTGGCCTTTCTATATCTAAAATAAAAAAGATAACTCATGAGATCTGTTTGTTTGTGGAATGGCCTGGGGACCTAAACAGTTGACTTTTTTTCTCTTAGTTGTAGAAAAAGAAGTAGATTCAAAGGCAGGAAACCAAAATGGTTGGATTATAATTTTTAAAGATTTCATAACTGAATAAATATTTTAATGGAATAAAATGCAGCTTTGATCACCTTAACATTTCTGTATACTACTGATACAAACTAAGTCATTTTTTGCTGTTTAGGTGCAATCCGAGTGCATAATGGTTGTCTCCAGCATCTTACGTGGCTTGGTTTACAGGGGAACTCGATGTCAGTGTTACCTGCAATACACAAATGGTTGAAACAACTTTTCCGCTTACCCCAGGAAACATCACGACTTGAGACCAATGCTCCTGAAACTATCTGCATATTGGACCTTGAAGTAAGGAAACAGCTGAAGCACTGTAACTTACTACGCTGTGGAGAATTGCACAATGTAACATGCATTTATTTTATGAAAACAGGTATTTTTACTTGGAGTGATATTTACTAGCCACTTACAATTACAAGAGACGTTTAATACTCACTACAGTTCACATCAGCCTCAGTTTTTACCACTGCCAGTGAGCAAACAGCTCTGTAGTGAAAGGCAAAGAAACTGGTGGGATGCTGTTTATAACCTCATACACAAAAAAACAATGTAAGTTTATTTATTTTTACATTCTATAAATTTAAGCTACTTTTAACATGATCATCTTAGCACAATTAATCAGTTGACTGTAGTCTCTCCTAGCATGTACTTCTACTTATGCACTGCAAGTGAAGGTGTCACTGTACCATCAGTAAGGCTACCTTTAATCTAAATAAGGGTAAGAGTAGTACACTTGGTCAACTAGCCCAAATACAAGTCAATGCCACCATCTCTTCACTGTTACCTGTGATTAAAGCTGATACACCAGAAGGGGTGACCTTTATACTGTAAGACCCAGCCCAGCTGTAGTTCAATGATCTTATAGCTGGTTTTTCATCTGTCTCTGGGTTCTGTTCTTATACCCAGAATGTTTGACGTCACCTTTCTCAGTGGCTGATAGGGGAACCCAGTCCATCTCTACTCTCAGTACTAGCCTTCAAACCCTTTAGCTGGCAACCAGGGTCTGTTCCTTCAGACACCTTCCTGTACATCTTCTGTTCCCCAGACAGTGACTGCAGACTCTCCTTGCTGAAAACTTATTAGTTTTATAATCCCTGCCCAGTCTCTCCCCAGTAGGTATTCATTATCAATTATATTTTCTTTTGGTTTCTCATAGGTGCTGCCAGGTACGTTAATTGACCTTGTAGTCCTACATAAATCCTTCAGAGCCTATCTGGGGTGCACAACCCTGATTAGTGTATTTCTGCTTATGTGGTAAATGGGAAACTAAAAAGGAACTTAAAACAGATAATCTGCATAATAAGAATTTATTTGCATTACTGTAATGAATTGAGCAAAATTTCTCCCGTAAAATAGATCAGGCTAATTGGGCAATGTGTCAACTTCATTTTTCAGACCAGGAACAGCAGCAAAATTGCGGCTTCTAGTCCAGCATGAAATAAACACACTCAGAGCACTAGGGAAGCATGGACTTCAACCTGCCCTAATTGTTCACTGGGCAAAATGTCTTCATAAAACAGTAAGTCGGTAAAAATGTTTTTACCTTCATTAGAACTTAAGTAGTTATAACTATAACATCTTTATAGCCAGGGCTCGACAAATTACGGAAAACCCTACGGAAAAGCCAGACAGAGGGCCTCGCCACTCCCCACTTCCCCCCCCAAAAAAGTTTTTTTTAATGGCATAAATTCCTAATAAGAATAAGAACAGTAATTAATAAGTTATTAATAAATATCACCTGTTATTAATAAACATCTTATAAACCTCTACCTTTTCTCTCTGCTGCCATGTCTCCTCCCCTTGCTCCATCAGCTCCTCTGGTGCCTGTTGCCTCCTAACCCCTCACCCTCCTCTGCTGTCCTGACTCCTGCCCTTCTCACTGCCCTCAGCCTTCGTGAGACCTGCCCCCCCTCCACCAGCCCTTCTCTCCCCCCTGTGCCCACTCCTCCAGTAGCCCCACTCTGATCATGTGAGCTACCCCTCCTCATCCTCTCTTCTAACACTTCCCTCTACACACCTGTCCTGCCTCTCTCCTCTGCTGCTGGTCCCTCCCCTGCAGGTGTCTGCCCTTCTGCTTCACCCCCCGGACTCCCTGGCACCTGCACCTTCCCTTACCCTTGCACCCTCTTG